TGTGGTTGTGTGGTAGGCACAAGGCATATGCTCAGATGTATGCCTGATACATCTGAGTATATGCCTTGTGGTTGTTTTAATCAAGGGGTTGCTGATTTGAATCTGCTGACTATCTGGTGAGGAAATTAAATGAACAATACTAATTACCACTGTACTGCTCATGAGCAAGGCATTAGATTGATCAGACGAGAATAGCACCAAATCATTGTTTCATATTAGAACAGAAGGGAACCCACATAACACTGATTTTGTGAAATCAAATGTAGTAGGTAATGCAGATTTAACTGACTGCAAAGGAGGTCTCCACGCTCCCTGGTAATTACGGGGTACTCTAGACTAGTTTGTGTGTCAAAGGTTTAAAGCTGCTGAGGCCACTGTGGTGGAAGTGGTGACGTGGATGTCTGCCTTTGAGCAGGAAACAGCAGGAATTTTATTCCTTAAAATATACATTTCACTTTTTAAAAACTCTAACCCAACTTCCCAAAGCTTAACTGCCTCATCATCACCCTAAGCTGTTTTCACACATGAACTTCAGAGGATATCAGGAGATTAGGTTGGAGACTGTCCAAAGTTCACATTTCTCACATCTAGGAAGCAACAGGAGAGAGTTCATTTAAGTGTACCAGAAGCACTCAGATTTAGATGAGACAGCTGCCTGGATGGAGTGTGCGGGAGGCAGGACACATGACTTACTCACTGCAAATTCAGTGGACCATCAGTCTGACAAACCATAAACTATCGACTGAGCCAGCTAAACTCTGGGGCATCTAGTGAAACCAGTTTTCACTTCGGGCCACTCATCACTGCATTCAGAGTGCCGTCAGTTTTTTTAAAAGCTCTTCACAGTTGATCTGCATGCAGCTCAAGTCTGTTCAAACATGATCAAACTGACTCCAAAAAGTTTGCTGTACCAACGTTTTTGTGTCTTGCTAACAAATTCTGCACTGCATAAGAACACACCTGCTTTGAGAGACTGCTGCATGGTCCTGATGAATGTTCAGTTTAACTCTGTTAGACATATCCTGACATGCAGTTCCTTTAGGTAAGGTCTAGAAAAGATCAGGGCTGTTAAATAACTAATATTTAACAATATTAACTAATATATATTTAACTAATAAGTAATTTCAATCATTTTGTCATGTGGAGTGTGCATAGGTGAGCACCCAAATGCAGGACACAGACAGGCAGAGTGCAAATCAAGAATATTTCTACAATTACAAAATTATGTGTTTTATGTGGTGAAATTAAAGCTAAGTGGAAGTAAAGTTCCAGTAAACGTGTGCATTGGTTGAAAATTTCCTTTTTATTTGGAAATTATAATTCCAGTTTTGGATGAAAATGTTAAAAAGAACATATTAGATTAATGCCCTTCCTCCTGCTGTACTCCCCCTGCACATTACTTTGTAAGCCAGCCTAAGCCCGTATGATAAACAGGAGGAAATCCCATTTGGTTGCTGTTTAACCTGAATTTTCTGCTATATACATTTCACTGGCAGTAGAGATTATGGTCTCTCTAGGTAAGGTATACTATATAAGCCTGACTTCTGTTTAAAAGTCTTTAAATGCGTAGCATGAGAATAAAGCTTTAATCACTTTTCTTGTGCAGGCTTTCCACCTGTAGCGCAGCGGCAACAGATCTGAGCACCTTGTTTGGAAGTTAGCAGTCTCTGCCATCACTTATATTGACTTAAACTCTGAGGTCAACTTTTTCCACATGGATCTACTGCCTTAAAATAGACTGCTGTTTACAGCTGCAGGTTAGCTACTCACGAAACTGGGTCCCTGCGCAGGATACACACACACTCACAAGACACTGCTTTATTTGGATGAAGCCGGGGTGTGCGCGTAGTGTCTACACGAGGCAGATCGGTGTCTTGTGTAAACACTGGCTGGAGGTAAAATAATACAAAGTCTGTGTAGCTGTTCGTGTGTTTGAAAGATGCAGCGCTTTTAACTGCATTACATTACACAGCACACAGCGAGCTGTAACGTAAATATTGATCACAGCTTTGTGATCTGTGTTTTTGTGGAACAGAAAAAAGAGGTCTTTGTGGTAAATTTACTAGGAGATTTTATGCTTCACAATAAGATCCTGGTTTGTTTTTCCAGGGGCAACCAGAGATATCGGATCAGCTCTGACCAGGATGTGCATGAGGCATCGCAGCATTGAGGCGAAACTTCGTCAGTTCACCAAGTAAGAAATGATCCTTCAAGCTCCCTTATTTCAAGTAGGAATTTGTTCCCTTCTGTAACTTTTTCCTCTGATCCTAAACTGCAGCCCATCAGGATCTGACTTTGTTTTATGATGGGGCACATGTTTGGTGAGGTTTTCTTGACAGCAATATGGACTCCATTAGGAACATTGGTCTGTCTATCCATATTGAAGTGGCTGTAAATAAATATAGCTATGGCACACAATGCAAACCGCTCTGGAAACCTCACCAGAGTCTGCTTTCAACCATTGTTTGCCTTTATCTTCATTTTTTCTACTTTCTAATGACTTTTCCACAGCAAAAGCTATTACGCTGATGATGATGGTAATGGCGATAATGATCTATGACTGTGGTAATGACGGGGTTTTTGATGAATGATTTATCTTCAAGCTCTTGTGTGGCTTTGCTTAAAAGATGTACACATGTCGTAATAGTCATGCATTTATCTTAATATCTGAGCATGTGTATCACATGTGTATGCATGTGTGGACATGTTGTGGGAAAATGTCCAGTTACTAAAATTATGAAGTAGAACAATAGGTGGAGGTGATGTATAGATTAACATGTTTTCAGAAATATGTTTTGCACGTTTTGCACTGTTCTGTGGAGATCTGAATATTGCAGGTTTACATTAAACCAGTCATTTGTCACAATGTCACACTTAAGAACTATTTAATGAATCCCTGCTCACTGTCTCTAATACTGCCAGTGCATCTAACTTGCATTCAAATATCTACTTCTTTGTCTCTCCCACAGTGCTTTGATGGAGAGTCTTATCACTCCTCTTCAGGACAAGATTGAGGACTGGAAGAAGACAGCCAACCAGCTGGATAAGGATCACGCCAAAGGTACACAGACATCCCAGATTTGCTTATTCATTCAACTTCAACATCACTAAATTCTAACCCCATATCCTCACCGCTGAAGTAGCTTTAAGTGTACTGCTTATGTACAGCTCTAACAGAAGGGCAAATGTTTGATCAGCTGGGCTGCACCATTGCTATGCTAGCACAGGCTAGCAGTGAACAGAAAAAGCAAACTCTGCACACCATTTTAAAATGAGGTTTCAGCAGCGCTGCATGTGGCGTGTATGCCTACCTTGATCACATTGCAGCTTCTTAGAGCTATGCTCCTCTTTACCTGCTCATCGTCACTCCTTGTAAGCTTGTACCCCAGCAGCTGGAAAAGTAATGCCTGCAGATGTCCTAACTGTCAAACAGCCAAAGAATCATGTCTGAAAATGCCAAGGAAGTATTCTCATCAAGTTATCTGTTCCATTATCTGTCCCACTGCCAGGGTGTCAGATAGTTGACCTAAACTTTGAGGGAAAGCATGTTTTGGGGCTTCTGACGTAGCCGGGACACTTCCTGCTCTGTGCGCTGGTCATTCTTTACAAATGCTTTAAAAAAGACAAAGCCAGTGTTGTTAGGATATCATTGTGCCAAATACATGTTGTCTTCTCCTCATTCCATAAACCATACTACTCAGACTATGATCAGACTGAAACCTGACACCATGAAAATTTTTCCCAAACCAAACTGTATGTTCATATGCAGGAGTAGAACTAGCCTTTGTCAATATAAACAGGATATTTACCTGTTAATATGTGTTTCCGCAGTAAACAGGTAATCTTACTTAAACTTCCACATCATTCGGTTCTAAAACTATACCTTTGTATACAACAGTGTCTAAACGGGAGCGGGTACATCAGAAACCAAACATAATAATCAGTGTTTCGCTGACCTCTTGGTGGTTTCGGTTCCTGAAAGTTAATATTGTTTCTATTTGAGTTATTATTGGAAATGCAAGACAGTATGAGTTTGCTCAGCAGCTTTTGCATTCGTTTTTCTAAAACATCTCTCTTTATTCTCTGTCAAGAGTACAAGAGGTCACGTCACGAGATCAAGAAGAAATCATCTGACACCATGAAACTGCAGAAGAAGGCTCGTAAAGGTAACGATCAGCTGTCTAACAGTCAAGCTCAGGCTCATGGTTGTCACTCAGACAGTTCTTGTACAAGTGCTGTTTGTGTGTTTTATGTATTGCAGCTGTAAATATATTTAGATATCCAGTTCATTGTTCCTACTGTTATTTATCTAAACACAACATCGTAAGTGTAAGGCTGCAGTTAATCACAAAAAATGAGCCATTTTGTATCTGACTGGCACTCTTGATAACAGACTACGTGAGCATCATCCAAACAGTAACTTAAGTCGTTATAAGTTTATATTGCCATCTGGTGGCGTTCTGAAAAATTACAGGTCTTTTCTCATTTGTCCTGAATCGCTTTACCCAGTGAGGCAGCAGCCAATAATTGTTGGTTTCTTTCTGCTGCTGCTTCCGTTCAGTTGCCAGGCAGATTAATTTACACATGCAAGTTGTCTAAAATATATTTCAAGATAATTATTTATCATTATTGAAATTGTTGTTTTATATTTTATATAAAACATATACCCTTGAATGAGTATATAACACTCATTCAAGGGTTTGTCAGAATTTAAATTTATATTTATGTAGAAAGAGAGGGGGGAAAGCAAAATGCACTTTCAATTTGAAGTATCTTTAAAGTAGCCACATTTTGCTTTGATGAATACTTTGCACGCTCATTACAGTCTCTCAGCCTGCATCACGAGGACAACTTCCAAAATGTTTTCCTACAGCTATGATGGAGCTTTTCCTTCTATATGCACAGTAACTCATGCCTGACTGTGTCAGGTGGTTTTACATTACCATATTGTAGAGGTCAGGTCCTCTGGTGTAGTATTCCACACTCTGGTAGCCTTTACGTAGCCTACAGTTGCATTGCCTCATGGGAAAAATAAGAAAACAAATTGTCGTCCAAAGCACAGGTAACTCTTGGACTTCCTGGGGCAGTCTTTGTGAGAGTCCATCATTTTTGTCTTTACAATTATTAAACAGAAAAGCAAGTCAATATGTTAATATGTCATTCCTCTTTACTTAGTTAGGTGGGGTTTGCATTAGCATTTATTACTGCAGTAGTTGGATGAGGCTAGCTGTGTTTGTTGTGCTGTGCTGGCACAAACACAACTAATGGACTGAAACAGAAAAAGAAAAAAGTTAACATTTTACAGGAAACAGCTATTTAATCTTTAAATTCTGTTTAGGGAGAATGGCTTGTAAGCACATTAGTATGTTGGAAACAGAGTAAACAGTATTTGTAAGGCGAACAATGCGCCCCTATGGAAAGCAAAAAAAATAAAAAATTGAAAGGTTTGCTGTGAACAAACGCTTAGAATGTTGGTAATGTGATAACAATAATAATAATGATAATGTTGATACTGGTACCTCAAAAAAGTTTGCACCATTTTAATTGGTAAGTTGTTTTTTTTGCTTCAAATCATATATGATCAAAATCAGTGAAAAAAGAAGAAGAATTTAAATTCAGCCTGTCTTCAGAGGTTTCCTGTGAAGCAATAATGTATATTAGTATATATTAGAGAGGCTACTATTTAATATAAATTATGAATCTTAGTTTTCAGTTTGTTTCTCACTAAAGATTTCGTTTGCATTGATAAAAAGTCCTGTCATGATCATGTCAGTTTTTTCTAGCCTGATTTCTTTAGGAAGTCCACACCTTCAAAAGCAACCCAGTGACTGTGAATCTGAATGCAAGTTATATGCTTAGAGATGTCATTTTCTCACATAAAACAAGGGTAATATAAGAAATTATCTTAAAACGATAGTCTGATATCTTTGACGGGGGGTTTGTATGAGGCGCTTCACAGTAGTCAGTGCGTTACCTATTGTAGAAGTTATCACACACCTACTGTACGTACTGTAACTGAAAAGTTACCAGTGTAACAGATAAGCAAAGTCCTGCTTTCAAGGGTCAGCAGCAAAATGTGTTTTTTAAAAAAGTACAAAAGCATACCGCGACGTCACGCTGCCCTTTCTCCTTAGTCCTCAGTCTGAACTTCTATCCATGCAATGTTTAAAGCCATCAGACATTCTAGTTCACATGACATGAGAGTTCATGTGGCTAAAATACGTTTTGATGCTGATCTCTTCCACACTGGCACAATGTTTCCACAATGTTGCATACCTGGGTGCATCTCCAAAATGAGACAGCTCCACTTTTGAAAACCTAAACTATCCTTTAACAGGACTAGATTAACAGTGAAACTGTGCAATGTCTGTTCCTGTGTCTGATAAGCCCCATCGCAGCTGATGCTTGAGGATATTATTGTTTCTGGATTGAACTTTTGGTTGCAGCTGTGTTATTTTGCTCTAACATTTGGCACTGTGGCTGTCTTGTGATGGCTTCCTTGTACTAACCCTAACAATGAGTTCTGCTATTTCTGCTCTCCCCGCCCCTGTCACTCTCTCTCTGTTTCCTTTCTCTTTCCTTACTTTGCTTCCTTTTTTTCTGTCTCCCCCTCTCACTGCTACGTCTTTCTGTCTCTCCTCCCCTCTGGTATTTCTATAGAGATGCAGGGTAAGTATCAGCCTGCCGCTCGCTGCTCTACCGCATCACATCCTTTTCTTTTTAAATTTCCAGCATTTGCCTGCAGGCAGTGATTATTACTAAATTTGAGGTCATGGAAAAGTTTTGGGGGTATATCAGGAAATTGTCTTTCATAATGAAATAGTCATGTAAGCAGACTTAAGGGGAATAGAGAGAACCTTATCAGGGCTGGATTAACCCACCACAGGGACTCCCATAATAAGCTGTAGGCTTTTGTTTAATTTAACTCGCTCTCGGTGCATAAATTGTTATTAATTAGTTATGAGTTTATGGTAATGTAATTAGCATACAATTATTTTGTCAAGTACACCATATAAGCACATTGCAAGCTGAAATAATAAAGCCTTAAAGCTAAATTTCTATCTGAGGCCCCATTACAACACAGGTGCTTTTAGGCTGGTGCCACTCTAGTTTAAACATGAAACACGTGCTGTGTGTGTCCTGAACTGCATCACTCTCAGTCTGTTTTCTTCATTTTAATCAGCTAAGTCCTCCATTCTAGTCTGTGTGCAGAAAATGTGCAGAAAACAGTTTGCCCAGTGGCCAACGGAAAAACTGACGTTTGTATTTGTGTTGTATTTCCCATATTTTATTCCTCCTTTGGTGCCAGAGAAACCAGACAATGTTCAAAAGTCTGCATGACCAGATTTGAAGATTTAAAGCTTTAAATCAACACAGAAAAAATGATAAAAAAAACTTTCATTATCTTCTACAGAGCCGACGTGTTAGGGTCATTGTAGAAGATCATGCATTTTGATGTTGGAAGGTTTCAGTCAGAAAATTTTAATTTGCCTGAAACAACTGATATTGAGATTTTTTTGTGACCGGTGATTCATGAGGTGGGGTAGCAATGTTGTTAAGTGATGTTAATTTATAGGTTAAAATATACTTCTGACTTCTCTGCACAAACATAATTATTTGTAGTCTTTTTACCACAAATTGAATGTCACATTTTGAACCTCAACCTTTCGGATCACCTGAATAGTTACATACTGTGCCCAGTGGGCAATCCAGCCTTGCTTGTAATGGGCATCATTCTACTGAGCCAACAACAACATGACAGTTTATTTATTGCACCTAAATGGTCAACTGGGGTTTAGCTTTTAATTCTCCATTGAAACTAATGAAACTTGTAACCATGACCTTTTTAAAAACTACATGAACTAGCTCCAATGCTTCCTAAACAAGTTTTGCCCCTCGTGACAGATTAGAGCTCAGCGTCTGTAGTTAGCTGTCGTGTAGTGTCACTTTTAACAATGCATGATGTAACTGAACTTCTTCCTTGACTCCTGCATGACTTTTGTAGCTGTTACTATCAGCTTTGTAGTGACACTGCAGGCTTCAGTCTGACTCTCATGCTACCCCTCCTCGTCTGTTATCTCTGTCATTTTGTTCCTCATTCTGCTCTTACATGCTGTAAAACTACAAAGAAATATTTCATGTCTTGCTTTCCATTTACTGCATTTGATGTATTTTTAGAGATAGCAGATAGAATTTCTTTTTTCAGATTACATATGCACTTATATTTAAGCTTTTATTATCAAGGTATTGCAGTATAGTTACAACAGATATGATAACATTACATTTTTAGCAAAACTTTTAGCAAAAAGTCTTAGTTCATTAAAAAACAACATAGGAAACTGACTACTGCACATTAACATTAGAACAAATACAGAGCTAAAATAGCTTAAAAACAAACACTTAAACAAGTTGCTGCTTTTTTTGTCTTGGTCAAAATTTTATAATCTGTACTAGCGGTTGGATGAACTCCTGCATTATGGAAAGCAAAGCTTGACAGAGAGATATCCACATTTAGTTGCATTAACACTTTTCTACACCTCCATCTTTCTTTCCTTTTTCATTTTCACCCTCTGATGAAAACCTCTACCTTCCTGTGTCAGTCTCTGCTCTCTCGTTTGATAAACGTCTCTCACCCACTGCTGCGCCTTCTCCCACCCAGGGCGAGGGGACCTGCAGCCACAGCTCGACAGTGCCATGCAGGATGTGACCGACATGTGCCTGCTGATGGAGGAGACTGAGAAGCAGGCGGTGCGCCGTGCCCTGGTGGAGGAGAGGGGTCGCTTCTGCACCTTCATTGGTTTCCTTCAGCCAGTTGTGGTGAGGACACATATGGAGGAAATGTGATAGACTTTAACAGCAGGAGGAAAGATGGACAGATGAGGGCAAGCACTGTCTAAAGTAACTTTTGAAGTGCTGTACAGAGAAGCATGTTCACTGAACAGCTCCACTGATAATTACTGTATTTGAACCCTTATGCCAGAGGCCATTGTTTGATATTGCCCCCTTAAAAAACAAAAAACATGTATTTAGTAGGGGTGCAACGATACTCGTATTGATATTGAACCGTTCGATACAGTGCTTTCGGTTCGGTACGCATATGTATCGAACAATACAAAATTTGTAATTTATTTTATCAACTTTCCTTCTGAC